GGCCCTGCAGTAGTCATGGCTTGTGAGATTGTGCTAAGGAGGGAAATGGAGCTGTCGTCCTTGCTGTTCTCACCCCAACACACACATCCAAGGAACCTCATGGGGCACCAGGCTGGAAGACCTTGCAATCCAGCCTGGGCTTTGATGGGCTCCAGAGATGGGGTTGTAGACTCATGTAGTTCTCCTAATGTGGAAATCTTCTCTATACCACCTGCCACGGCTCCCAGCCCACATTCCCGTGGTGGGGAGCTCTCAGCCCACCAGCTTGTCTTCTTCATCTGGAGGCTGACTTAGAGTTTGCCTGTGCCGAGATAATGCTGTCTGAGTATTATCTCATTTAGTCCTTGCACCCTAAGAAATAGATACTCTTGTTTATTCTTATTTTATGGATAAACAAAGTGAGTAATAGGAAGGTTAGAACATTGACTGAAAGTCTCAGAGTTCGGAGTGATGAAACTTGGATTCAAACTCAAATGCATGTTTCTAGAGCTGTGTTTTTCAACTTTTAAAAAAATCTCACAGCACACTTGGACCTACAGTTAAACTTTCATGGCATATTTAAATTATGTTGATCAAAAAGAAAAGAGAAAAAAAAAGAACATATTTACTATATTTTGAACCTCTTTTAAAAATAATTTAATTAATGATCTTTAAAATTTTTCTAGGTACATTTAAGATCCTCTCATGGCACACCAATTGAAAGTCAGTGTTAGAGAGTGCATATTGCCTTGAATTCATTAATTCAAGCATTCACTACTGCAGAAGTTCTTTCTTCTGTTGGGCCAAACCCTGCTGCCTTACACCTTCTATCTGGCAGCTGTGGGACTGTTCTCTAGAAAAGCCTAGATGGTGCCTGCTGCTTCTGTGTTTACAGTGTCAGCTGTCAGGTTCCTTTGTCAACACAGTGCTTCTCTTCTGACTCGGTTTCCAGAGTCCCCTGCCATTGGATCACCTCTCCTCTTCCCTCATTCTTTTACAAATGCAGATTATGTATCTTTTGTGTAGGGTAACTGATCCTGAGATCCAGATACCGATTCCATTAAAATAATCTACATAGGAGTTACTCTTCTGAGGACTTGGGCTATACCGCTGACTCATACTGACTTTGTGGTTAACTAAAATCTCAAGATCTTTCTATGTGACCTTGAGAAACTTATTTTAACTTCTCTGATCCTCATTTTCCTCAACTGAGAAGTAGAGTTATTAAGAACATCCATCTGTGGTTGCTGAAGGTCTCGATGAGATGACACCACTCAAGTAGCCAGCAGTGTCCGGCATGTCGCAGGGTTGCCATGATTGCAGCCATTTCTCTCTCTCTTTCTTTGTTTGAGGGTAGGAAAGATCTGTGGATGTTCTAGGGGAAAAAAAAGAAGAAGAAGAAGGAGGTAAAAGGCTAAGGTTTCCAGAAGTGAGAGAAGCAGTGATGAAATAAAGGCCCGCAGTGAGGGGCAGGGATAGGATCCAGACCCAGGGAGATGCTCACCTTGGGAAAGAAGGAGGGGAAGGATAGAGGCAGAGGCAGAGAGGTACAGCCACCTTGTGCTGCTGATTGCAGAAATAACCTCTGACTTTCTTAATACAGTTGTCCCTCTGTATCCATGGAGAAGCCTTGAGGGCACCAAATTCTGCAGGTGCTCAAGTCCCTGACATAAAATGGCATGGAATTTGCTTGTAACCTGCACACATCTTCCCATATACTTGAAATCATCATCTCCAGATTTCTTATAATACCTAGTATGATGTAATGCTATGTAAATAGTTGTTATATTGTACCATTTGGGGAACAAGGGCAAGAATAAAAAGTCTGTACATGTTCAGTATAGATGAAAAACTTTTCTGAATATTTTGATCAGAATAATTAGCTGGTTGGTTGATTCCATGCGTGCAGACCCACGGACAAGGAGGGACGACTCTATGAGCTCTGTTCACATGTTCTGAGGCAGAGGATGTCCTCTTGGGCTCTGGAAAGAAAATGATCAGAATGTTGTGTCACACTCTGTGGTAAGAAGAGACATTCAGAACGGACAGATGCTTTAAAGCCTGTGTAGCTGATGGATTCCTTCAGGGAGCTTCAAAGAGACAGCAAGAGTGAAACACAACCTCATATGCCCAGCGGAATTCTAATTCCCAGCTTCACACTCCCCAGAGGTGAGGTGACTCTGAGAAGGTTACTTTCCCTTCCTGAGTGATAGAGTCCTTACCTGCAGCGTGGGGACAGTTCCGCCCCCTGCACAGAGTGGGTGCAAAGCCCAGTAAGAGAATGTATGCCCGCTGCCCACCATGGCACCTGGAATGTGGCAAATGCCTCCTTTGCACAAGCTAGGCCTAGAGATATAGGCACAATGGGCATGTTCCCACAGAAGGAGAGTATTTTTGCCAACAAAGAAAACATGAAAGGATTTTATTCACATACACAATTGATCAGGCATCTTTTGCATGTCTATCTGAGGAGGCTATTAGGAAGTTGATGAAAAGGAGCCCCGTGGTTGGGTCCATGACAATCACACATATCCTCTTTCACTCCTGAAAAACGAATAAAAAAATAAGATGGGAGAAGAGAGGGGGTGGGTCTTCAGTCCCCCACCATCCAACCTCTGGTCACACCTCCACATTGTCTCCTGGGATCTCATGGTCCTGAGGCCATCACCCTTATCAGCTGCTGTCTTGTCCCTTGATCCTGGTTCTCACCTGCTCAGCACCTGCTAACTAGGGACACAGAGGCTCTCTGATTGTGCACTTCCTCCCCTTAAACCTGCCAATAACTCCTTTTGCTCTCACATCAACCTCCATAAGTTCTCCAGGGGTCACAGTCAAACTGCTACACCCAAGGGGCACTTCTCAGGGATCACCTTCTTCCAGCCCCGGCTTGGCCCTGGCTTGCTCACTGAGGCTCACTCTGCCACCCTCTTGAGCACTTCAAATGGCCCCTTACCACACTTTACTTTTTCTTTTGTCCATTGCTCAACTTATGTATAATTTATATACCCTGCTTACTGCGTGCTCTATCTTCTCTGCTGTCTTTGTCAGAATCTCAGTTCCTGGGGCTAAAGCTCTTCGTCTGTTCTTGGATGCAAGCTAAGAGCATCTGAGTCTGGCTCATGGCAAGTGGCGGACCATTAAAAGAGTGCATCACCACCTACCTCTATGGCCTCATTTGTGGTTCTGTGGGGTCCCACCCATGTCCCAGCCCCTCCATTCCCCACCCTGAGCTGGACGTAATGACCCACAGACCATTCTTGCTGCTGGACCTGTGCAGAGCCTGTTCCCCTGGAGCAGCACCATCTCTCTGCTGTCCCTGCTCCCTCCATCTGGGAGGCTAATTCCTACTTGCTCTTCAGATTTTATCTTACATGGAACTTCCTGTAGGAATCCTTCTGTGACCCAAGCATGGAATTGAGCTGCCTCCTTTGACCTTGACATCACCGTGCACACACTCAGTCTTATCTTGGCATGAATCACTCTGTCGTGTCATTTCTGCTGTAACTGTTTGTCTGTTTCTTTATACTAGTGATTTTTACTCTGTGTGCCTTGAACATTCTAAAAAATCATTAATTAAATTATTTCCAAAAGAAGTTCAAAGTCCAGTAAGTATATTCTTTCTTTTACTCATTTTTTTGATCCGCATAATTTAAGTGTGCCGTGGAAGTTTAACTATAGGTTTAAGTGCGCTGCGAGATAGAAGAAGATGGAAAAGGACTGGTCGAGGCTGTGACATCCCAGCTGGTGGGGGCACCGCTTTCTACTGCATTTCCAATACCAAGCACAGTGGTTAGAGCAGCTGCTGGGAACATTTTTGCTAAGTGACAGTTGATGGAGGACATTTAGGGCTGTTCTAAGGTCGGGTCAGGTAGGCATTTAACATTCTAGTAAGATAGTGAAATCATAGGGCCCCTGAACACGCGGGTTATGAACCGAATCCAAACCTTTGTCCCCTGGCAGCATTCTTTGCCCACAAGGTGGAGCACGAAAGCAAGACCCAGAACGGACGGAGCTTCCAGAGGACGGGGACGCTTGCCTTTGAGAGGGTCTACACTGCCAAGTGAGTCCAAACTCGGGTGCTGTGGACTGACAGGGTGGGGGCATGGGCACGGGGCCTCTTTATAGGAGTGAAGGCTTCCCTTGAGGCCACATGTCCGTCTGGGCCAAACTTCTGAGTGCCAGTGCCAGAGAGGCAGGGTGCTAGGAAGTCTAAACTCCACGTGGGAGGCTTTGGGACACCCTTTATCATCCTAGCCGGTGCTGTGTTAAAAGAAAGTAGAGATATTGGAGCCGTGATCTTCACAGTCTAGAAACATCTGAGCGTGTCATTTGGCCAGAGGAATTTACCTGTTTCCTGTGGGGTTAGACCAGAGGTGCTGTGGCGAACACCAGCTGTGACTCATCAGCCTGCTTCAGAGGCAGCAGGCGGGAGGCTTTGTCGACAGCTTTCAACTCACCCGGTTCTCACTTTCCCCAGGTGGAAGCCTGGAGGTGACACCAGAACATTTCCTAACATGGGGTCTCCTTGAGCAACCAGAACAAGAACCGAGAGAGTGAGGACATTGCACACAATTGTGTTTCCTTTTTCTTTTTTTCTGTAGAGTGCTATGGTATGATAGCTCACAGCAACTTCAAACTCTTAGGCTCCAGTGATCCTCTTGTTTTAGCCTCCCAAGTAGCTGGTACTACAGGTGGCTGCCACATCACCCAGCTAATTTTTCTATTTTTAGTAGAGAGAGGGTCTCATTCTTGCTCAGGCTGGTCTCAAACTCCTGAGGTCAAATTATCCACCCTCCGTGGCCTCCCAGACTGCTAGGATTTTGGGCCTGAGCCACTACACCCCACCCCAGTTTTGTTCCATTAGCGCATTCTTTACTTTGAACAATAAGGCTGTTGAAAGCATTGGAGCAGCTCAGTGAAGATGGGTGTGATTTCTTTGGGATGCAAATCTGAATGGATATTATTCAAACCCTCTCTTCTCCTCCATGCAGAATGCATTTCGATGGGAGGGTTGTCTGAGAAGTGCAGACGTGTAGGCCTGTAGGGGACAGGAGATGGGGCACCCAGGAAGGTTTCATGCTGTGGTGCCTGTGGAGGAGCTGACCTTCGGTTCCAGCCCTCAGGGGACTTTGATGTCCCCAGAGGTCTTTCCAAAGGGGGAGTCATGGTCACCCAGGACAAGTATGTTCAGAATGGCAAGAATAACACAAGCAAACTCTGGGGTGGTGATTCACACTGAGGAGCCAGGAGGGAGTCCTGGCATGTTGGCCTCTTGTGAATGAAAACAGGCATGAGGGGACTGGAGGGACATCTTCTCCACTGCTTCTTCTTATCCTTGGCCCCTTTGCTCCCTCAGCTTCTACATGGCTACATACACTGTCTGGACTATTCACGACACATTGGCAGGGTGGTCACAGGCTGATTGCCTGGCCCCTAAAACTCTCATTTGACTTCCCTGGCTATTCCTGAGTGCTCACAGTGCCACTGCAGTGGGTGCCGCAGATGCCCTTCTTACTCTGTCCCCTACCTGCTCTGCCCTACCCTTCATGCCAAGCATATCTGTCCCGGGTTATTTCCATAGTCTGATCTCAAGGAAACTTTGCTGAACTCCTTAGAGGAATATTTCTCTTTTAACATCTGGACTTTGGTGTATTAATTCTCAGAATCATTTTAAGAAGTGTAAAGATGCGATTTAAGACATTTTAGATCCACTTGAAAGAGGGTAGGAAAAATGTGTCAGTGGCCATCAACCTCTTTGCCGTCCACATGCATGAAATACAAGACGGTGTCTTCCATCAGAGGCAAGATCACAACTTTTCCCGAGACAAAAGCCAAAGAAAATATTATGACTGGGTTACCAGTTAGGAAAGAGAAGCTGCTTCTGCCCAGATGGCTACATTCTCACTGCTTCCACTGGGATCCTATCAACTCCTCAGTGCGTCCATTTTGGAGAAGCTACAGTGGAATTTCTCCATATCTGGTTAGAAGTTCCCATTTTGCTGGCAATAAAGAAGAAATGGAACAAGCAAGGCTGTCTAAGTTTCTGCCACTTCCCCCCAGAAATGAAATAGCTCCATTTCTGAGAAGCCATTGTGCTTCTACCTGGCCTCTTTGGCTGCCAGCCTCCAAATTGCCAAAGTTTCCTTTGATTGGTGGTTGTGCCATGTCATTGGGTTGGGTGGTTTGGAAGTTCTAGAATCATGTGGGGAACAAGAGATAAGAAGGCACAAGAGGAGAGTAGAGGGCGATGGCTGCTGCCTGGATGTGTTTGGTAGTATAGGCGCTGCAGCCCAGCTCTCAAAGCTCCCTGGTCTTTACCACCTAACCTACCTGAGGGCGGAAATAGAAAGAGGGAGGGAGAGAGAGCTGCAGAGAGGTAGGAATGAAGAGGGCAGGGAGGAGCATTTTCTGTAAGATGAAGATTACTCAGATACTGCTGTGGTTCTATTACAAAGACCACTTCCTCTTTCCTGGCCCAACCACATGGTATGTGTCTGTCTGGATCGTAAAGAGTATCCAAAGATCAATGAAGCAGGTGACTGCATGCTGGCAAAAGCCGGGGCAGCTCGCGTGCCGGCCTCTGCCAGGAAACTACTGGGCAGGGGCTGTGTGTTATTCTAGCAGAAAGTTGCCCCGAGAGCAGCTTTTCTAGGAGCCTCCAAAAGCACCAAAAAGGGTTGCGAGATGATCTGTGGAGGTGCAGGAAGAAAAGAATGGGTATTTACTCTTGCTATCTAAAAAAAAAAAAAAAAGAAATGAAGTTGTATTCATTTTTAATTTACAGACTGACAGTAGTACATGTATAGAATTTTTTCATAAATGTATCCATCATAGGGTTCCATGCTCAAAACTACTGGTTGATGGGATGGGGTAGTGACTGCCAATAAAGGAAAAATAGCATAAAGGACAAATGACATTGGTGGATTGAAAGGCCTGATGCATACATATGTATTTTTTGGCATAAAGTCTGACTGCTGACTAATATTGCTCAAGATTCTGGGGTGGTTGGTGAACAGACCTCCCAGCCAGTGTGTCCATCAGCTTAGACTTGACTTTGATTAATGATCTGTCCACTGCTCATCTCTCATGAGGGTAGAGCCAAGTCAGGGTTTGAGAGCTACAGGAATTGGACCTTTTCTTTCTGTTCACATGTATAATACGTAGAATGCCCTGTCTTCAGCCAATGAGCACAGCTAGAGCAGCATTGGTCTAAGTGTGGTTTTTTCTTGTCTCTTTTCTGAGAGCGCAGGGAAGCACAGGATATAGAGAGGAGATGGATCTCTGGAGGTGTGTAATTTCTTAAAATGTGTTCCATGGGTTACAAGTTCATGGAGTGTTATAAGTAAGTTCTTTTTAGCCAGATTTTTGAGAATCTTTATTATATGTACTAAGGGGCACTCTGATTCTTGTTTCTCCAAGAGGGGGGTGTCTTAACTACAGGCCCCCAAACCCCTTTTTAGGAGAGTATCCCAACTGTTCAGTGTTTCACAAAAAACATTTTGAGAAATGCCACTGTAATGTCGCTTCTTCCCTGCACCTCATGGAGTCCACTCTAGACTCAATTGTGAGCAGCACAGATTGTAAAATTATTTGAAGGCAATAGGTTTACAATGATCCTATTGATTAGTATTGATACTAGTGGTTACTGTCATTAATGATATTTACTTATTTTGAACTAATCCAAACTAATTAACAGAAGACTAAAGTGGTCCTGTGAGAGGTGGAAAAGAATGGAAAAGAAAATAGCAGGGAGTCCTTCTCTCCATAAACACAGGAATAGTGCTGTGAGTGCGCCCAACGGAGGTTGCACAGGGAATTGTCCTAAGATCTGCTGAGCAGCTTCTAGTTAGACCTCAAGAAATGAGAATCAAAATGGGTTTTTCAGTTCTGTTTTGCAGGGAAAAAATGGCACAAAACTCCTCAAAAGAAAATCCAACTGGGTGCGATGGCTCAACATCTGTGATCCTAGCACTCTGGGAGGCTGAAGTAGGAGGGTCTCTTGAGCCCAGGACTTCGAGAATGGCCTGAGCAAGAGTGAGACCCCATCTCTACTAAAAATAGAAAAATTAGCCAGGTGTGTCAGTCACTGGGCAACTCAGGAAGCTCAGGCAAAAGAATAACTTGTACTTGAAAGTTTGAGGTTGCTGTGAGCTAGGCTGATGCCAGGGCACTTTAGTCTGGAGCAATAGAGTGAGACTCTGTTTCAAAAATCAATCAATCAATCAATCAATCAATAAAAGAAAACCCATAATAATAACAATTTGCCAGGTGAGGACATGTCCATTAGGGGTTAAGAGGAGAAACACTGGAATAATTATAGCCATTGTTTATTGAATGCTTGCTGTGAGCCAGGCAGAACTTTATTTCATTTTATTCTCACAATAGTCTAGGAAAGTAATTTCTTTTCTTCTTATTCTAAAATTTTAAAGAAATTTTTTAAATTTTGAGACAGAGTCTCACTCTTTCACCCTGGGTAGACTGCCATGGCATCATAGCTTACAGCAACCTCAAACTCCCAGGCTTGTGCCAGAATGAGGGACCAGGCTCTGGGAATATTCTGGAAATCCAGAGGAAGAACCCATTCTCTTATAGTTGAGAGAGTATCATTCAACTCCGGACAGGAACCAAGATAGGTTCCAGATAGGAACCAAGATGTCCTGACATAAAAGGCAAGAATGATTGAAAGACTTATTCAATGTCAACTCACATGACAGTTGACTATACTAAGCAAGTCCCTTGGGCAATTAAGGACTTTCTTTCCTTTTGCACAACTCAGACAAAGTCACTCCTTAAAATCGAGACAAAGCAAAACAACATCCCCCATGAACATGGGAATGTGGAGGAAGCAGGGAAAATCTTTGGTATTAATAATTCTCCAACTATAATAGCATCAGACATTCTATCCTATAAGGCAGTGAATGTTATTCAATTACCTAAAAAAGGAATTTTTTCTCTAGTTTTCTTGAACTGGGAGATCAATCGCGTTTCCAGACCTGAGGCTGCAGCTTTGTGCCTCTAGTAATGAGTATGAATAGCTGTGATGCTGGTGCTCAGCCGCTGGTGTGATTGTAACTGCAGGCCTGGTTTGTTCACTGAGCACTTTACCCCAAACGGTCATTCGTAAGGGCCTCCTGCCCTTTGGGATTCTTACTGTGTCCAGTAGACCAGCAAACATTTGGGGAACCCAGAGCACTGAACAGGTCAGTAGGGGTCTGCTCTTTCTCTCCTGTGCCTGGTTTTGTTGTGCCTGTCTCTCAGGGTGGAACACACAGGTTTCCCCTGTATCACATTCACAGACTTCTCTCCTAAAGGGTCTTTTGCCCATCAGAGGGGCATAAAGGTCCTTCTCTGGGTTTTCTGCAGGGAAAATGTCGCGAGTTGGCCATTCCAGAGCATAGCACTGAGGTGTGACACCTTAGCAGTTTGAACCAGCTGTTTGAAAATTGTGTCTTTGCTTTTACCTATATAGTTCAAATCACATTAGACATCAGCATGTATCAGAATCACCTGGGGCTTGGTAAAACACAAACTCTGGGCCCCCTTCCCAGAGTTTTTAATTTTGTGGGTCCAAGGTGGGCATGAGCATTTGCTGGTCCAGGGAGCACACCTCGAGCACTGCTGCAATAGCCATCGGCTCTTAGAACTCAAAAGGAACCCTTAGGTTTACATACAGTGAAACTGGGTCCAGAGAGATTGCTTTGCCAATGGCAAACAGCTGGTTAAAGTGATGACGGGGATAAAAGCCTAGCTAGGTGCCCTTTCCACTGGATCGCATTGTCTCTTCCCTTTTATGCCTCTCAAGTCATGTGGTGGTGTTGTTCCGTGGATGGGAATATCATTGCCCTGACCTGAACTGTAAACTCCTCAAGAGGATACTGATGATTTAAGTTGAAGAGTTAACAGCCCTGGCTTGGGCATCAGACTGACTAGGGAATGAATCCTGGCTTTGCCGTTCCCTCTCTGGGTGACCCTGGGAAGGCTATTCAGCTTCTCCAAGCCTCCGTTCCCCATGTGAAGCACGAAAGTGTTTGTAGAAGGCAGCATAATGTCCCCCACCCCAGGAAAAAAATGCTTACATCCTAATCTGGGGAACCTGGGAACATAGCAAGGGAGAATTTAAGTTGCTAACCAGTGGACATTAAGATAAACAGATTATCCTGGATTATCTGGATAAGATCCAATGGAATCACAAGAGTCCTTCAAATGTGGAAGAAGGAGACAGGAGAGTAGATGTCTTATTTTGAAATGATTGAAAATAAGAAAGATGTGGCTGGCCCAAAGGTAGAAAGTTATCTTGATTGACTGTTCAGAGTTACAGGTCAGACTCTTGTTCCAGTCTTCCTCTCTTCCCCCTACTGCACTTGACTAGTCTACAAAGAAGAAGAAGAAAAAAAAGATTTTATTGGCCTTTGCAGAGTTGAGGTTGGAAGGAGGTCCTGAGCCAGGGAGTGCAGGTGGCCTCTAGAAGCTGGAGAAGGCAAGAGAATGGATTTTCTGTTAGAGGTTCCAGAAGGAATGTGAGATGCTGTTAATATAGTGACTAACTATTAAGGCCCATTTTGGACTTCAGACCTCCAGAGAACTATGAGATGATAAATTTGTGTTGTTTTAAGCCACTAAGTCTCTGGCCACTTGTTACAGCAGCAAGGAGAAACTTACACAGTGTCATGTGCACTCACAGGAGCATGGTCAGTTTAAAGGCAATGATGGGTGTAAAACATCAGTGTAGTGCCTGGCATAGAGTGAGGACTTCCAGGGAGTGAGAACTGTAATCTACACGCAGTGATTGTGCCATCAGCAAGCTAACTCTCTGAGCATCAACTTTTCTGAATTAATCTTGGTTTTCTTGATGCTTGAAGATCAACTTTCGTCAGTCTGGCCTGCAGACCTGGGCAGATTGTGAGTGTCTGATATGAAGATTTTCTTACTGGGGCTCTTCTCCCCTCTGCCCCCACCATCCCGACTGTGGCCACACCCTCTGTCTGCATCACACTCTCCAGTTCCAAGAAGCACATCAGCGCAGCCAGGAGCAGGAACCCTGCCAAAGAGAAAACATCAAGAAAGCAAGTCTCCGTGATGCTTCGCTGTGGGAACAGAGCTAATGGATTCTGAACACGTGTTTGCTTTATGCTATTGTCTGTTTCCAATGTGGCAGCTGACTGCCATGGGTAGGTGTAAGTGGAAGTATGAATGGGACTCAAACCTCGTACACGATGATGATTATTAGCTGGGGTTTCAGAAAATTTTCAGTTGCAGTAACGTGTTCTCTGATTGCTTTCCTCCTTGTTTATTTATTCCACAGCCAGAACTGTGTAGATGCATACCCCACTTTCCTTGCCGTGCTCTGGACTGCAGGGCTGCTTTGCAGCCAAGGTAACTCAGCTTTCCCTTTATACACTCTCTATAATGTGCATCTCAAGGAGGTTCAAAGGGCAGGCTTTTTGTTAAAAAGACTTTGCTTGACCTCTAGCTCTCATCTGTGAAGCCCGGGAGAGGTGAGAGCCCTGGGGAGGCTGTGTTTCAGGCATGCTCTGTGCCCGGGCAGAGCGGGTGTGATAATGCATTGCTAATGCTTGCTCCCTGGTGGCGGTTGAGAGCACTGAGCTGACAAGGGTGGTTTAAGGCTAAATGTGACTCAGAATTCTTAAGCAGAGTTAGCTCAGATATAAGGGCATTATAAGCGAGAGCACCTGAGGGATCTATTCTGGGACTGCTGTCCCTCAGTTGTTCTTCTAATAAGCTTCCACCCTGCTGGCCCTACTTTGGGATATGTCCACAGGGGCCACAGGCTGGATCCCAGGTCTTTAGCCTTCCCTGGGGTATTGGTAGCCCACAGTCTTGACTCCAGCAAGTTAGAAGAACAGATAAACTCCTAGAATTGATTTAAACTTAAATAGAAACCAGAGTCATACTCTTTGGTCCCCTTTTGAAATTTAATACCTGACAGGCTTGGCCACACCTGGCATCGTGTCTGATGGCGGTTCAGCATGAACTGGCCAGTTTCTGTGGCTTAGTAGGGCACCTGTGGAAAAGTCACAAGTAATGCTATAATGAACTCTTTAATTCTTATCATTTTCTCCCCACTTTATAAAGTAGATAGAGTGATCTTATTTCCGCCTGCACAGAGCTCGTTCCAGGCTGATGAGTATTAGAGGCAAAATGAGAGCCCTGGTCTTTCAACTCTAAATTCTGAATTTTTCACAAGTATCTTTTTTACCTTATTCATTCACATAACAAATGGATACTGAACGATGATAATAGGCCAGGCCCTGTGCCTGGATATACAGGGCTAATAAAGCAGAGATGGTGGTGAAGCACACAGGCCACAGGGCGGTCAGTGAATGGAGACATGAGAGCTGGGAGTGAAGCGCCACAGAGGAGAAGGATGAGGTGCAGCGACAGAGAACTGGGGGGTAGGGGCGGGGAAGCCGCTTACAGGACACCAGGTGGCCTCCTTCTCGGTGTAGAGGCTGTCAGGAAACTCACCATTTATTTTCCATTTTCTATCCAGAGTTAAATAAGAAACATGTCTGGCATTACTTGAAAAATCAAGTCAAACTCAGCTCATGCTAGAAGTTATGATTCCTTTTATGGCATGGGTGCTATTTGATCTAGATGAAGGCAGAGCTGCTCTAGCTAGATAAATACAAAAGGAGTTTGAAGGTGTTGCAGAGCCCTGGAAATATTTTGACTCATTCTTTGTCAAAATAAGCCTTGGCATTGCCAAGGAACAAAAACATCAGTAAACCCTGGCTGATAATTGCGATTTCTTATGAATGTAGTAGATTGTGAAGTCTTTTTTTTTTTTAAGCTGAAAGGAATCGTAGCCCAACTCTTCACTTTACAGAGAAGGGTCCCACACCCCAGAGGAATGAGGGGTTTGCTTGAACTTCAGAATTCTAGGGCCTGGATGTGTACCCGAGTTCCCAGCAGCCCCGGCCCCCACTGAGCCGCTACCTCCAGAGGGGCAGCAAGTGCGGCCACTTTCCATCCATGATCTCTAGTAGCTCATGTTTGGGTGAATTTCCATCAAAAGAGAAATGAGCCAGCTCCTGGCAGCAGAATCATTCAGGTGGCACAGCGTAGGAAAAGCTTTGTCCAGGGCAAATCAAGAGTTGTGACAATTCTGTGATTTCAGAGAACAGGATGAACCTTACAAATGGTTTTCTTTTGTGCTTTGATTTTATTATCTTCCATGTAAGAATCACATTTTGGAAAGCAGGTGGAGTTGTGGATGGAAATGGGCTTTGGGGAGTGATAAATTAGAGGCACATTCAAGGGTGCTCGCTGCTGGTGTGTGACCCCGGCTGTGAGCACCTTTTCTAAGCCTCAGTTTCCTCATTGTAAAATAGGACCACAGTATCTAGCACTGTTCCTAATTTGCTTAAGTGAGGTACTGTGCTTTAAGCCCCTGACCCAGTGCTTGGCATATGTCAGATTGAACCAAATAAAACTGCCAATATCTGATTGTTTGTGACCCACAAAAGTGGCACTTTCATGTAGTTCCACTTAACAATGGAAGCTCAGTAATGGTTACTACTGATGGTGGTGGTGATGATGTTTTGAGACCAGGAAGACAGATTGAAATCTCCCTTTCCTCTGGGCTGACTTTTTTCATTCACTCAACAAACGTTTTTTGAAAGCACCCATGTGCCAGGCATTACATCAGACACAGAGATGATCCAGGAAAAGACAGCTGTCCTTACAAATCTTTTGGCCTGAGCCTAAATTTCCTCATTTGTCAAATGGTGACAGTTACATATTTTTACTAGGTAGCTGGGAGGATTGGAGACCTAAGTTTCCAAAATACCAGGAGAGGTGCCTGGCAGGTGTAAAGTATTCTGCCAATGGTGGTTAATATGATATTTGAAAAATGCTTGGAAGTTTTCAAAGCGCCTTTTACAGCTATAGCCCTGTTTCATCCCCACGCTAATTCCTAATGATGGGAAAACAGTAATCAGCCCTTTTGCCCAGATGCAGCACAAACCAAGTACTGGGTTTAGACACCAGACTGAGGGGAGCTGGGCTTTCTAACTCCTAGCTCCAAGCATCCAGGACTCCATGGGATTATTGGGGCATTGCTGCTGGATGTTTCCCAAAGACCTAGAATGCAAAGGAAATTTCCCTCCCCAGAAATCTTTGCTGAACAGTAGCAACTGGGTTCAGGAAGGTGAGCACTGTGCTGTGGGCAGGTTCAGGGGTGAAGGGTTTGACTTGAGAGAACCATCCTCAGAGCTGGTTGGGGTTCATGTCCTGTGTCCCCTTACCAGCTGCCAGCCTTAAACAACCCCCCTTAGATCACCTGAGCCCAAGTTTCTACACCCAGAAGTAGAAATATTGGTTCTGGTTATGTTGAAAAGATTCATATGAGATGATGGATGCGCAAATACTTTGTAAACTCTGCCATGATGTCACTTTAAGGTACTATTACTATTATTAATGTTCTTAGGTTTCTTCCAGCTGTAGGGGTTTTATCCGAAGTGCATGCCAGCCTCAACTATTAGAACTTGTGTCCTCTGCTAGATTTTGTAGCCAATGATGACTGCGTAACAACTGTATGAATATTATGCTAACATAGCATGTTTTGGTGTCTGTGAAACTAACATGAGTATTTTCACTTGCCCACATAGCTCCTGCTGCCTTTGCTGGACTGATGTACTTGTTTGTGAGGCAAAAGTATTTTGTTGGCTACCTGGGAGAGAGAACTCAGAGGTAGGTACCAGGGACTACTGAAGAACCATGGAGTGATTCACACTTTTGGAGCAGGACGTATAATAATTCAAAACAGTATTCTGACCGGCACTTACAGCTCTGTCGGAGTCCCTTGGTTGGGAGGGGGAGACTGACTAGGAGCCCTCATCTCTGTCTCCCTGAAGTTTTAGGGTTCTGAATATATAGCCTGGGGACTTGCCTAGTTTTCTCATTAAAAGATTCCTTAGCTGAGTGCAGTGGTCCATGCCTATAATCCTAGCACTCTGAGAGGCCAAAGCAGGAGGATCACTTGAGCTCAGGAGTTTGAGACCAACCTGAGCAAGTGCAAGACCCCATCTTTACTCAAAATGGAAAAACTAGCCGGGCACTGTGGCAGGGGCCTGTAGTCCCAGCTACTTGAGAGGCTGAGGCAGGAGAATTACTTGAGCCCAAGAGTCTGAGGTTGCTGTGAGCTACAGTGACACCACTGCATTAGCCAGGGAGACAGAGAGAGATCCTGTCACCAAAAAAAAAAAAAAAAAAAAAAAAAATTCCTCCATATCACGTTTACTTTCCAAGAGTGCTTCAAGTTCCTTGAAATCCCACACCGCCTGCTCCCACCCTTCAGGGTCCAGGGCGGGAATGACTTTATGTGTAGCTTTCTAGGCTTCCTGTGAGAGAAATGAGACCTCGAGCTTACACCTTGCAGTAATTCTCTTGAGTAACGGATCTTCTAGGGATCCAGCGAGAATGTCGAGAAAATAAGATGCAATCGTGGGACTGCGCCTCACCACGGATGGCGTTGTTGATAGATGTTGCCAGACATAAAGCTCCGAAGCAGCATTGTACTTTCCTGACGCCTGGTCCGGGAAAGCTGGATTTCAGTAAAATAAAGGACGATGCTTACAGCAGAAATGTTTGAGGTCAAACATGCCACCAGTTCCTTAGAGGTGGGAATTCCCTGCCCGCCAGCAGGGCTCCAGGCCAGGACTGTGGTCCAGGAGGCTGCTGCCCCCTGCGCCTGCCTTTAGTAATAGCACCCGGCTCTGGTGGCTAATGAGCTCTCTAATTGGGTAGCATCCTTCAGTGGTGACAAAGGCAGTGACATCTTGGGGAGGTCAGCGGGTGACAGTGATACATCTGGGGACGCTCAAGGACTTGCGGGGCCTTAGATCGTGAGCTGGGCTGCTGCTGGGGAAAGAATGACTGTTCTTCAGCGAATCTGCCCCTTGCCATCTTTCTTTGCTCCTCTCTAGTGGTGTTCTTATTTATTCTCTAGAACCACAATTCCATTATCTCCCTTGTTCTTATCAACACTGTCCCAAATGATATTCTTTATTTTCTTTTATCCTAGAAAACCTCTATCATGACTTTCCCCAGGTGATTACTTGTTGTTAAGAGGTGGGGGGTGGGGTGGAGTGTCTACCCATGACATAAGAGGGTCTTCAGTCTCGGCAGCGGGCTCCCTGTGCAGAGTCCCAGGGATTGGCTCAATCACTGCTCTTCTCTTCAGCTGTCACCACCTGCTGGGGATCCTGCAGTGGCTTTAATTTTGAGATAGGTTGCAGAGTACAACACAATTTGTCCATCAGCTCACAGGCCCTTTTAATTTTAAAGGTTTTACTAAACTAATCCCTATTAGGGAATGAGCAGAGGTGGCAAAAATAAACAAAAGAATATAGTCTTAGAAGAACTCTTAGAAATCTTACATTTCTTTGGATCTCATTGCAATGTAAATGGCCTGACCTTTTAAATCTTTTGCGGGTCCCCTTTATTAGATAATAGGAAAATCCCACCAGCCCTTTAACCCACTGAGTGGGTGGGTTTTAGACCCTTCTTACCTCCTCTGTAGCTGTGGTAGGTGTCACTGATGGATCATGGAGTACTTTCTTGCCAACACCAAGCTTGGCCTCAGGATCCTTTTTAATATAGAGTTCTGAGAGGTTGTCATCAGTAGAAATGATAGACGCTGGAGGAAATGTCTAGGCCTATTTTGGCCAAAATACAGTCTAACGGGTGCAAGCCTGAGGGGCCCTCTGGTCGAGTGCAAGGGGATTTTCAACTCCGCCTTCTAGGTACTACTTGATAATATCCTCTTCAGTTGGGGACCCACACCCTCCTCAGGTCCCTGGGCTGTGTCACACCTAGACCCTACAGACACCTAATGGCTTAGGGACCTGCTTTTGTCCTTGACCTCACTAATGAAAAAGGAAACAGCTCAATGAAATCTTCCTCCCCAGAATTTCTCTGGCGGGCTACAGATCATCTCTTGGTCTTTCCTAGAAGTTGCTTTGGCCTTGTCCACTTCAAAGTTCTGATGTCATTCTTGGTCCAGGGGGTAGGTAAGACATTCTTTAGTGTATCTTCCCTGCTGAAACAACTGTATGAGAATCCTCTGGAGTGCTTACTGAAAATACAGATTCCTGGGCCCCACCTGGACTTATGGAATCATAATCTCTGCCTAGGAGACCCAGGAATCTGCATCTTAACACTTTTGTCAGGTGATTCTTATGCATGCTGGAATTTGAGAACCACTGAAGGCTGGTCTTGCCTCATTCTGAGAATGGTTTGGCAAATATTTAACGAAGTTCCCATTTATTGGAGACACATGGGCGAACAGAGGAGCCAGCATTATACCCTTACCGAACTAACAATTTTTATTTCCTTTAGAAGTCACCAGGTTTAAAGCATCATTTTCCTGTTGAAAAGAATTTTAAAACCAGAAGGGACTTAAATGTCTTCTATTTCTACTTCATATTTTGTGCACATTTAAGAACTGGAGTGGGAGGTGGGGGAGGGGCACTTCCTGGTCCAAGGTCAAAGAGGGTTGAGTGGGGACTGGGACTCAGATCTCTGAGTGCCCAGGTGTCCCATCCCCACAGCACCTCATCCCAGATGTTTTCAGCACATTTGAGATGGGAATTAGTTAGCCTAATGCCACTTTTCTATTTTCCTGTAAGTTCTATGCTGTCTGTGGAGGGTGCAGTTGTTCTAAAATAATAACCAACTCCTAGTCTAAAAGTCTGAAGGAGACCTCAAGAATTCAGCATGGTACAAAGAGCAGGACTCCCTCCACTTGCGGGGAGGTCTGGATTCTCCCTCTGCTTCTTCCTGGCTGTGCGACCTTAGGCCAGTCACGCACCCTCTCTGCTCTCAGTTTCTCCAGATAGAAAATAGGTTAATAATATGCCCTCACATAGTGGCTGTGAGAATTAAATGAAGTCATGGATTTGAAACACCTGACCCCCAACAGATGCTTAAGTTAATTCTGACCTTCCCCACCCAGCTAGAGAGAATTATGTATCCACTTTTAGAAACAACACAAGAGGCTCTGTGCCTGTAGTTCAGTGGCTAGAGTGCCAGCCACATATACCAGAGCTGGAGGGTTCGAATCTGGCCCGGACCAACTACAACCAAAAAAATATCTGGGCATTGTGGTGGGCGCCTGTAGTTCCAGCTACTTGGGAGGCTGAGGCAAGAGAATCGCTTAAGCCCAAGAGTTGGAGGTTGCTGTAAGCTGTGACGCCATGGCACTCTACTGAGGTCAACATAGTGAGACTCTGTCTCAAGAAATAAAAAAAAAAAGAAAGAATAAAAGAGATGTCTGGATGGTTCCCAGGGCTCCTGATCCAGGTGCACTGTCTGGGGTCCCAGCTTGTTCTTCGGCCTCGTTTCAGGTTCTCTGTGACTGCCTGAGCCCAAGGCAGGTCCCCTCCCTGCACACTCTATTCCCACCTTCCAGGGCTGTGACCCTATCTCCAGGTTTGAGAGACTTAAGTATCCATTTAACAAATGGGGGCCCCTATTCACACTCAGCCCTGCAGGTGATGGAATCTAAGACTGAGTTCTTGCCTTCCACACTCCATTGCCAGGAAAGAGTTAGGGAACCATAGTCCTGTCTTGCGTGGGGATGATATGCCTGGAGACCTTTGAAAAATGCTACCTAAATCCAAGAATATCACTCTTTGATCAGAAGGCACTGCCATTTCATTTTTCACTACGGTTTTATCTTCAGTGTAAAACAGCTTTGCAAATCACTTTTTCTTGTTTCCATAATGAGCATATGGTAGCCTCATTCATGTGACAGATCTGAGCCACCACAATATTTGACTTTTCACAATTTATTAAAATTTATCTGATGCTTCTATTTTCTGGCTAAAAAATATCCCTTACTTGGACTCCTTCACTTCCTTTACCAGCGCTAGCAGGTGACTCTCTGCATCAGTCTGCTGGGACAGCAGTAACAAGGTGCCACAGACGAGGTGGCTTCAATGACAGAAATTTATTTTCTCTCAGACTTAGAAGCTAGAAGTCCAAGATCAAGGTGTTGGCAGGTATTTCTCCTTGGTTTGTAGATGGCCTCCTTTGCCCATGGTCTTCTATAAAACACCAGTGTTACTGGGTTAGGGTCACTCCCGTGACCTCATTTTTCCTTAATTACCTCTTTAGACCCCATCTCTAAAAACAGTCCCATTTGGAGACACTGGGGATTAGGAATTCAACATATGAATTTTGGGGGGACACAACTCAGCCCATAACATTTCTTTGACAACCAATTATTTCCCCAACAAGGAGATAGAATGCCTTACTCCATGAACATGACTGTGATCATGAACCCAGGGAGAGAAGGACAAAGCTGGTCATGGGGCAGGGCTGGCATCAGCTAGCAGTGCCTTTCAGACTTGACTATGTCTCATAGGGGGCTTTTCAAAATTCAGATTCTGATTCACTAGGTCCAAGAAGGGCCTGAGATTTTCCATGTTTGACAAGCTCCCAGCAGAAGCTGCTGCTGCTGCTGCTGGTCCAGGGACCACACTTTGAGTAGAAAGGAGCTTGATACTTAACTGCTGAACGACCTTCAAACTTTTGCTGTAGGAAAATTACAAATTACATTATGAACATTTGGGGTGCCTTTCGAATAGATAAATTTCTGCCATTAAACTTGTGGTTGCCAAATGCTGCCTTCTCCGATTATAATAAGAAACAGGGATTGGTGTGGTGGCTCACCCCTATAATCCTATAGCACCCTGGGAGGCCGAGGCTGGAGGTTCCCTTAAGCCCAGGAGTTCAAGACCAGCCTGAGCAAGAGTGAGACCCCATTTCTACTTAAAACAGAAAAACTAGAAAGGAGTGGTGGTGGGCACCTATAGTCTCAGCTACTTGGGAGGTAGGAGGATCACTTGAACACAGGAGTGTGAGGTTGCCATGAGCTAGGCTGATGCCGTGCTTTAGCTTGGGGCAACAGAGTGAGACTCTGTCTCTAAGGGGGAAAAAAAAAAGAAAAAGAAACAGGATTGGGTGGTGCCTGTGGCTCAAAGGAATAGGATCCTGGCTCCATATGATGGAGGTGGTGGGTTCAAACCCAGCCCCAGCCAAAAAAAGAAAACTGCAAAAAAAAAAAAAAAAAGAAAGAA